CCCTTCTCTTTTTTGTATTGTGTAAAGAACAAAATAATCTTCAGCCCCCAGAGCTTGGTCGGCCACTCCGGTCCTTTTTGACGCCGTGACCGCAGAGAGAACTCTTTTATTCTGAGATGTGAGAATGGCAGGTCTGCCTGAAAAACGAAAAAAAGAGAAAAATCCAGCTGTACATTTCTGGGAACTTAATTTTGCAAGGACTTATGGGATAACTGCATATGATGGAGAAAACGAAATGCAAATAAAAAAAATGAAACCTGTATGTGGTGTGATTTTAGGATCCTGGGAATGAAAATGTTTTTAATGTCTTTAAGAAAATGATTTGAACTTTGATGAATATTCAGGAAATGAGGTCATTTTTTTGGGACATTTTTCTGTTTTTGTATTTTGTTTTGACATCATGTTGGACTGAAGACCAACTGGTTAAAACTGGAATCAGTTCCAGTTGTCCTACAATATACAGCAGTCTGTTTCCTTTGGAGTTGCAATACCACCACCTACCTGTAGGGCTCCAATTTAATAATACAAAAATACTGAAGTTGGACTTCCTGGATGAAGAAAACACCGTCTTATATACAGTATAGAACTATATGGTTACATTTTCTTTAATGGAAGTTCTCCATAAGACCTTGCAGCGACACCTGGCGGTCACAGCATGCCGCTGCATTCCAGTTTTAAACTCTTTAATGACTGATGGTCACATGTGTATATTTAATTTAAGGTCTTGATATTTTTAGATTTTAGTTTTACAAACACAAAGTCAGAGAGCTGCAACAACGGCTCCACAACGCCCCCATGTGGCCTCCATGCTATCGGCAGGTCATAAAATCTAAAGTTAAATATCTTTTGTTTTCTGTGGCGAGAGTTGGATCAATAAATTAAAAAAAAGTAAGAAAACATGGAATAGAATTCCTGGAACATACTTTAAAAAAAAAACCCTGCAGAACGGAGTAAAACTGTAGTTTAAATCTGATGAAGATGAAGATGAAGGAAGAACTCAACATAAAATAATTCTCACTTTTCAGTCTTTTGTTCCAAATTCGATCTTTCTTTAAAAACTTCAGTCTGTGTCCCATGTACCATGTACCGTGTACCGTGTACCGTGTACCGTGTACTGTAAATATTAAGGGTCTGTGCTCCAGTTTTGGGGTCATGTTCTTTCTTGTCTTCTCTTGTGTTTTTTTATGCGGGGGGTGAGGGGGGGGGGGGGGGGGGGGGGGGGTGGGGGGTGAGGGGGATCAACACTTCGTAGACTAGCGTTAATTAACTGTAATTAACCACCGACAGCACCGTAAAGCCGATGAGCAAACACTTCTTATCACAGCCCCGTGGTTGCGGGTGAAACTCCATTCATTCTGCCTCGGACTTCCTCCTGCAGTGAAGTCCGAGTGGATGTTACGTCTTCAGGAGTTTTTTTTTGTTTTTTTTCACAGCCTCGGCCAAGTGTTGGTGCGCCCTGGTTCGGGCCTGAGGAGAGGCTTACACGGAGGTTTCTGTGGGGAGCAGAGGGAGCCAGACAGGCGACAGTCAGCGCTGTCTTGGCCTCAGGGCAGAGGCAGGGAGAGAGCGGGCGAACCAATGAGAAGGAGACATCCACTCCCCTCAGTCCTGCCCGGCTTGGCTCAACTCGGCGCACCCTGTAATTAGGAGCTCTGGGTTGGGCGCCGCCACCGTGGACAGCCTGGCTGCTGCGTCAAGTCAGTTTGGGAACGCCAGCTCCACACTGACTGTGGACCTTTGAGCACGGCAGCCACAGAGACAACTCCAGAGAAGAAGAAGAAGAAAGTGGGTGAAAATGAACGGGCAGTCCTCACCTGTGTTCGAGGAGAAGAAGCCTGCGCTTCCCGTGGCTCCGAGCTCCATCTCGGCCACCAAGGAGTCCCCGACCCTGCCGGAGTCCTCATCCACAGACATGGGCTTCTACGGCCAGAGCGCGCTCCACGGCTCCCAGGATTTCTACCAGGCGCAGCAGCAGCAGCAGCAGCAGCAGCAGCAGCAGCAGCACTATCCGGGTCAGCACATGAACCCGTACGCGTACCACCACCACTACAACCTGAACGGGATGGCCCCCGGGGGCGCGTACTCTGTTGGCAAAGCCGAGTACCCGTACCCTCACGCGGCGGCGTACAGAGAGCACGGCGCCTTCAGCCGGGAGCTGCAGACCGCGATGCAGGAGAATGGTGAGTCAGAAAGAACAAAAGGAATTGTGTTTCCAGTGCAAATTAAAACAAACTAACGGGATATGAGGTTGAATTCACCGAAATAATAAGACATTTAAACTAAAAAAACAGGTTTTTAAATTTGACAAAACTAAAAATCCTGAACCAGTGGAGGTGAAGTGAAAAGTGAAAACTCCAGTGAATTCATGTCACTGATGGAACAGATACATATGGTGAAAAATCATTATGTGTTTTTTTAAATCTGTTTCCTTCATCAAACTTCCTCATCTCTGCAGCTTCACTCTTCACTTCTCTGAAGGATTTATTTTTAACCCAAGTCAAATAGAAAAGTCATGAACAGTGATGATGTGACGGAACAGCAGCTTGTTCTACATCGAATGGTGAAACAAACACACGGGGGAACTGTGGTTGAGTGGACGTGAGTGTGGTCCAGGTCAGGTTCTCTGTCTGTCGCTGCCAGAACTCTGGAATCTGAATCAGAATTCTGTCTTGGCTGAAAAAGAAAGAGGAGAAGTCAGGAATGAACCGGGGCCGCCAGTGGAGCAGCTTCTGTTTGGCAGGGACGCGTTTCTAATCACACTCTGCATCCAGGACACCGTGGGGGTGAGGGAGGGTCAGGGGGGGTGAGGGGTCAGGGAGGGTCATCTGTTTCCTCTACATTTTCCTATGAAAACCTTTTATTGTGACAGTCCAGCTCTGATGAAGCCTGGAGGATCAGGAACCAGAGTTCAGGAAATGAGAAATGAATAATTCAACAGTTTATTCTGCAGATTAAATAATCTGACAGGGGGGGTAAGGGGGGTGTCAAAGGTCATATGAATCATTCTGATGCAATGCCCCCCCCTATAGAGAACTTTAACATTGTCCTCAAACAACCCCTCATCAACCCCCGCCCCCCCGCCCCCTCCCCTCCTCACACACCTCTTCCTCTTCTTTTTAATTTTTTAATTTTTTTTTTTTTTTTTTCGGGTTTGGAAGGTGTCTCTGTGAAAACCGCAGAGGGAAAACAAACCCGACAGACTGGTGTGCTGTTTTTGACATTCCAGTTGGGAGTTGACTCCTGGAGATGGCCCCGGGGGACTTTGGCCCACAGCCACGCACATCAGGTGTCAGGACACGTCAGTCAGCCTTGGCCTTTGAATCATCCTGCGCAGGACGGCTCCTTATCACGCGAAGCCCGCGGTCACGCCCTGACAAACACCCAAACAAACAAACAAACACACACACAAATATCTGGGTCATTGTCAAATGAAAATGTTTAAGTGGTGAAATGAAAACAATGTGTGTGTGTGTGTGTGTGTGTGTGTGTGTGTGTGATGTTAATAGACTGTCAGATTCTTAAATGAAATCAAACCAGATCCTCGTTTGTTACAATAACTTTCAACTCCCAACACGTGTGTACACACACACACACATACAGGTTTTTAGGTGCTTGTGAGTACTTCATGTAGATGTAAAGTACTGTGTACTCTGTTACCTCGACAGTAACTATGACAAATATACGTATACCTAATCCTAATCCTAATCCTAACTATAATCTAAACAAAGTCTTAAACCTGCAAACACTCAGTGGCAGCAGCGAAATGTCCCCACTGGTATAGCAATAACAACACACACACACACACACTCATACTCACAGATATATATCAAAGAGACACTGTTGACATTCTATCTTATTTATTTATTCAAATTTTTTAATTTCAATTTTTTAACTTCTTTAAACGTAGTTCCTAAACTCTTAAAATAAAAAAAATATTTAAAATTTTTTTATATCAAAATGAAACGTACGTTGTTGTTTTTTTCCCAGTTTATAATGAGTTCAAATCCACTCTGACAGTTGAATAACAGAATCACCCAGTAAGACACAGGGATGTGAAACGACACTTTCCTGAACCCCGCCCCAGAGGTTGGTTTAACAGTTTAAATCTGCAGTATTGTATGCACTGCAAAAATAAACACTCTGACATATATGAGTAAGGCTGTTGCTGGGTCGCGGCCCGGAAAAAAGAAAGAAAGGTTTGGATACAGGAGGATGTATACACTGGGCCTCCGGGCGACATGAAAAGCACCTATAAATCTGCGTCTCCCTCCCCGGCTGTGGGAGACACTCAGACCAAAATTATAAGTTCACAGCGCTGGCGGAATTTCTTTGAAATTTTCGGGGTTTCAGCGGCCGGGGCTATTTTTACATCCTGTCTCCTCGGCCTTGCCCTGCGAGGGACCCGGGACTGGTTCACGTCAGGGTTTGAAGAGAGGCGCTGCCTTTGTCTGAGTGAAACAGATCTGGTGATCTGGTGACCTGGTGATCTGGTGACCTGGTGATCTGGTGATCTGGTGACCTGGTGATCTGGTGATCTGGTGATCTCAGAGTTCTGGAAGGGAATGCTGCGGGGATTTCACCGGCCTCTTCTCTCTTCCTCCTCACAGTGAAAGAAGAGCCGGAGATGGAGGTGCGCATGGTGAACGGAAAGCCGAAGAAGGTGCGTAAGCCGCGCACCATCTACTCCAGTTACCAGCTGGCGGTGCTGCAGAGACGTTTCCAGACGGCCCAGTACCTGGCACTGCCCGAGCGGGCCGAGCTGGCGGCCCAGCTGGGCCTCACACAAACACAGGTGAGTCTCCACCATTTTAATCAGAATATCGCTGGTTCAAATCCCAGTCCAGAATACTGATGATGATGCTGGTGTTTGTCCCTGGGGTGGGCTATGAGGTGGGGGGTGAATAGAGTACATGACAGTGGTGCAGTGGGAGGACCTCCATGTACTATCAGAAGGTTCTGGGTTCAGTTCCAGGAAGATCATCCAGTGTGAAATCTCTGCATAATCATAAAAGACAAAAGTGATTCTGATAAGGACTGTGAACCTGTAGTGTAGCGGTTAGCACACCTGCCTCGCAGAGAGTTGTGGGTTCGATGCCCACATTCTCAGACTCTTGAAAGTTGCTTTGAATAAAAGCCTGATTCTAAAAGCCAGACTCTGGAGGACTGCCCTTCGTCCAGGGACTGCTGTGATTGGTTCCACCCCGCCCATGTGACCCTGAGAAGGACCTGGTGGTCCTGAGACCCAGCAGGTCACTTCTTTAGTCTTAAATGAGTTCACGTTCATCAACACGTGGTTCCAGGGCTCTGCTGTAGTCCCGTCACTGAGAGGATGGGAGGTAATGAGGTCGGGGGGG